ACAGATTCTCTCCAAACTTCCAATGAAGAGATTCTATTTTCAGAGCAGTTTCCCTGTAGAAAGTTGTTCCTACTGTTTAAAATTTTTTAAATACCTATAAACAACTTAAAAATCCTAGGATTCTAAAACACGGATAGTATGTGTTCTGTTGCCTTTATTCTATGATTGAGAAAATCTAAAGTTAATTGAATTGCCTAGGGTCACAAAGCTATTAACTTACAGGTCCATGACCATGAACTCTGATCCCTTGAATCAATGTCTGGTAATATTATTTCAGATATTTAAAAAGTAGTTTCCAGGCCCCTCTTAGTCCTCTTAGGCCATGAGGTTTGAATTTTTCACCATCTTAGTTACTCTTCTGGTTTTAACCAGTTTTCTAATAATATTAACAAAGACTCTCTAAGGTACTGAGGGGAATAGAAGTATTCATGTATTACTAATAGCATTTTAATCTTTATGTAAAATAATCTGTCATTCTTAGTAGTAAAAAATGTATCTGCCTTATGGTTTGGTTATCTCACATTATAGTAATAAAACTATATCTTAAGGAAATAATTAAAAAGAAGAACAATTTATTTAAAAAATTGATTTAGAATAATGCTACTCAGAAATGGCTCAACATTTGGAGAATATTTGTAGACTAATATATGCTTGTCAGAAATGATATATAGACTAGATAGAAATAAAGAAAATTATGTAATAAAAGAAAAAGGTAAAATAAAAATGGCATATTCATTGTAATGTTTAGGGATATAAAAAAATTAGAGTTGTAAATTATGGATCCTTTAAGATAAAGGGTACTTTGTAAAGTTTTGGTGTTTTTTCCTTCCCTGACATTACTGATTAAATCTTCGATAAGGACTATAGTGCCCAGAAGTGAATGTACCTACAGTGTAGAGTTGTTGGAGGGAGTAGGAGGAGGTAGGCCATGAGGGATAGATCTGGATCAGACTGCATGTCTTAGTCCGTTCTGGCCGCTATAACAAAACCACACACTGGGTGGCTTATAAATAACAAAAATTTTATTTCTCACAGTTTTGGAGGCTATATGTTCAAGGTCAGGTTGCCAATACCATTGGATTCTGATGAAAGCCTTCTTTCAAGTCGCAGACTACAAAGTCTCATTGTGCCCTCACATGGTGGAAGGGATAAGCTAGCTCTCCAGGGCCTCATTTATATGGGCACTAACACCATTCATGAGTGCTCTGCCCTCATGACCTAATCATCTCCCAAAGGTCTCACCTTCTCATATCATCTCCTTGGGCATTAGGTTTTCAGTGTATGAATGTTGAAGTACATAAGCACCAGACTATAGCAACACAGATAGTCTTATACACCATTACACTGAAGAGTTCAGGCGTTAGCTTATAGATAAGTGTTCTAATTACCATCTGATCTGCTTTAAACAAAACACTCAAACAAAAAGCAGTGAAACCATCATTTCCGGTGATCTGTCTGTTACTCATCCACTGCTATGGCCCAATATGCAAAATGTTTGGAACCCAACAAAAGAAAGCTGATTATCAACTAAACCCCCAAATATTTTTTCACATGTTCTTCTACCAAACCTGTTTTCCCCAAACTGCAATTGTTTGATAAAATTTTAATCTTGATATATAAAAATTCCACATTTGTTTTTGCTGATGTTTTGTCAGTTCCAGCTTAGTATTCCAAAACTTTGAAATAATTTTGAGAATGCTCAATGAGTCATCATTATTTAAGATAACTTCTGTAGTATCTTAATTTGTGATAATAATCATAAAAATAGCTCATCATTAAGTGTTCACTATGGACCAAGCACTGTGCTAAATGCTTTACCTTATTTTATCCTCAGAACAGGCCCACAAAGTGATTATGATTACATCATCCCTGCCAAAGATCATATAGATAACAAGGGTCAGAGACAAGAGTTAATCCCAGGTTTGTCTGATACCAAATCCCATGCTGTAGCCACAGCAATGAACCATTCTGACCATATTTTTTAGTTTTACCCAAGGCACTGAAGAGCCCAAACTAAGATCTCTGAGATAGTCCACTAGAGAATTCCTGATTCATGTTCATTGGATATTGTGATTCACCTCATTCACAACTCACTTGATGAGACTATTATCCACCCAATTTCACGACTTTATTCACAAGAATATCATGGAAGACTATGAATGCTTTGCAGAACTGAAATGTATTGTGCATGACATTCTTTATCTACTAACTGGCATTTTTCACCAATTTTTATCACTTTCTTACTAAGAGGTCATCTCACCTACATTATTATCTCCCTCCACTAAATTATCCACAACACTAGCTAGAGTGATCTAAACTCAAGCCCTCTTGTAACTGCCCTATTTCAAATACTTCAGAGCCCTCCCATCTTGTATAGAGGGTGTTCTTAACTTCAGTTTCAGGATCCCAAGGACTTTAAGAATTTTGTAATTCTTTTTCGAATTATATAAATGTTGTATATATGTGCATTCTACTCAGAAAAGCATTCATAGATTTGTATTAGATTATCAAAAAGTAACTGTGATTTTAATACCTATAAATCACTTATAAAATAAAGACAAATTTTTCTAAATATTTATACAAACCTCTTCGTGATCTAATTCCTAACCCCCTAAGCCTCATCTCCTTCTATGTCTCGCCCTTCAATACCCACCACATTCAAATACACACATTCACAAACACATACATATACACAATAATAATAATAATGATAATGTCACACTTCCTGTGGTTTCTCAAAATCTCGTGTGAACTGAGCAAACACATGTCCACCTGTGTACATGCTGGACTATCTCCTTTCTTCCCATCCTGAGATCCCAGTCATCCTCAAACCTCAGCTACCTTTGTACCTTCTCCGTGAAACCTTTCCTGACCCATCCAAACCGGAAGTGCTTTCATCGAGCTTTGCTCAGACCACTCTTAAAGCATGTATCAAATCGCTCTAATAATTTGATTAAAGATCTATCCCTTCACAGAAATTCCAAGTTCCAATCATATGGTGCCTATGGCCCTGACATAATGGTGAGAACCCAGCCCCCTTGCCAAGTTTTAACCAACAGTTAAGGAAACTGTTCTACTTCAGGAGAGTGACCTAGTATTCACTCAATAAATATTTGAACAAATAAGTGAACAAATAAACTGAGCAACACTATTACAAAACAATGGCCTCTGTTTATAGTGTGCCTTCTTTATTTATAGATGTGCATAACTTTTCCTTTCTGAGATCCAACAATGGATCATTTATTTCATTAAAGGTAAATGTAATCCTGGCTCTGTTTTACAGAATATGGAGGTCTCACAAAAAAAGCTCATGTCATAGTTTCTTCTTTCTAAATGTTTACAATCTTATGGGCAGCAAAGGCTCAGACATGTGTACTCCATCTTAAGTCTCATCATTGGTACTTCAATTGTTTACTTGCCCTCAAATGGTGCTATAATTCCCTGCTGAGGCAGCAAAATAATATAGCCCTCAGAGCCTAAACTTTGAACTTATACATATCTGAGTACCAATCTTAAATATCCTGTGTTCCAACCGTGCAAGACAGAACAAGTTGTATAAACTCTGAGCCTTTTTATACAAACCTCTCGAATCAACTACAAAATGAAGATAATGCTTCCTTCATAAGTTTACATAGATAATATATGTAAAATACATGGTAAGTATGCAGCAAGTAATGGCGAGGAGAGAGTTATGCAAAGGGCAGCACATTGAACTGTAACTCCTCAGGACAAGGATTATCTTTCATTTCTCTTTGAACCCCCAGCACTATAGTACCTGCTACATAGCAGAGAGTAAGCAAATGTTTGTTATGACCAGTTACCAAGTACTAGATGTCAAAAGCCAAGGAAAGATAGAAAACTTTATTGAGAAGAGAGATATACAAAGGGTGGATTTTTTTTATAGCCAGAAAAGACAGAAGTGACTGAGATACTGAAGATAAAAGAAGTGTAACATAGAGTTTGGGAACAGAAGCAGTAGCATTGGGATATAATTAAATACTTTGTAATTACTAAAACTTGACTGTTCAGTATCATGCTTAGAGATTAATAACAAAGATAATGCCAAACCTTACTCCTTTTGAAAACCTCAAGTTGTATCAAAACCAAAGAAGAAAATGTTTCATTTAAACAAACTATATGATATAATAAGAAAAACATGAGTTTTAGAGGGCAGCAAATCTAGGTTTGAATTTTAGTTTTGCCACTTAACTAACTTTATTGTCTTGGGCAAGTCACTGACCTCTTTGAGCTTCAGTTTTCTCTTCTATAAATTAGGAATAATAATGTTATCCCCCAGGGCTGATGTGGGGGTGAATGATATCATTCTTGTAAGGTGTCCAGTGCAGTGACTGGTATGAAGTGAGTGTTCAATAAACATGAGCACTGCTGTTATTTTTAATAGTGTAAATTGATACATTTATGTCTTTGTGCTAAGTCAAGGTGTACATTTTGGTTGTACATTTTTTTTGGATGTGTAAGCTTGAGCCTACTTGATCTGAGGATAATTGGGAAATAATCCAGAATTTTTGAAATGGAAAGAATCCAGAAAAGGACAAAGTGTAACATGCTACTCTATGGCTGCTTGTCTGTTTAACAAGAAGAAATGCTAAAAGTTTTATGGGTAATTGTATAGGGTGAATGCTCAAATAGGAAGCTAGTACTTTTCTTTATTAACTACCTGTGTAGAAACTGTCATGCAAATACTGCCTTGTGCTTTATGCAAAACATTGAAAACCCTAGGACTTTATTCTTCTGCTTGGATTGTTTTCTGGAGTAAAATACATAACTGAATTAATTCCAAGTGTGTTTGTCTGTAAACCAGCCAAATATTTGTTTTTAAATACTTGAGCTCTATGTTGAATATACAGAGGAATTACAGTTCTTAGCACATTACTTTTTTTTTCAGTAGTAGATTTTATTCTTTAATCCTTTAGTATAGTTCCACATATACTAAAACATCTTTTATGCCCATTTTAATGAGAGTTTTTTATTTCATGCAGGTTCCTCCAGGGGACCCAGCCCCCTAACCATGGGGGCCCAGGACACCCTCCCTGTCGCAGCAGCATTTACAGAAACAGTCAACGCCTACTTCAAAGGAGCAGATCCAAGCAAGTAAGCCTGGAGCCTGGCCCACTCTGTCCTCCAAACTCTGTCTGTTCAGTGGAGGATACCCTAAAACAGCTACTTAATCCCTTGTGGTAAAACCAAAAGAAATCCAACTAACATTAATAAGTGACATACCTAGAATGGAAGAGAAAACTTAATTAGAAAATATTAATTCACTGCTTTTTTTTTTTTTTTTTTTTCACTATTCAAGGTTTATTTGGCATTTTAGTTGGTATTACACTTGGATAGTTGGCTTCATTATTTATATGTAGACTTTTTTTTACAGTATATGGCAATGTACACTAATCTGATACGTATAGTACACAGAATAAAATTCTTCAGAACAGTTATGTCAAGACATGCAGTGCTGGATTTATACATTGGATCCCAGGATGAGACTGATTGGGGAGAAAAAAAAGTTGGACTAGGCACATTGGGTAAAGGAACCAGAAGTTGTATAACACAGTGAACACAAATCTAGTCTGAAGGGCAACTGTAGTGTGTGCAACATTGGCAGTGGTGCCTTTGAGGAAATGGCACTGTTTCACACTAACCAGTTCAGGACTACACAAGGTAAATACCATCCAGCATCAGGATACAGATGCAGGGTTTTGTGAACCATTACTGTATCTTTAGGAAACTGTTGTTTTTAGGCACAAATCAGATAAAAAGGAGATATGCACCAACTAAAATTCTGTGGTAGCCCAGACAGTGAGGTGGTATGACATGAGAAGACTTTAAAACCGCAGCTCTTTCTGGATTCCCCAAAGTGTATCTGCACTCTTCTTCAAACGGGCCTCTTCCTTGGGTGTCAGAGTCACCTTCACAACATTTGAGATTCCGTTCTGTCCCAAGATGCAAGGAATACTAAGGAAGACATCGTCCTTTATTCCATAGAGACCCTTTTTTTTAGGGAGTGTTATAGTTTTATTTTTGTTTGTTTGTTTGTTTTTTATCTTTATTGTTGAATGTATTACCGATGTTCCTCATTTTTCCCCCGTTGACCCCCTCCTCTCCACTCCCACCTCCCTCCGGCCTTTTTCCACACTGTTGTCTGTGTCCATTGGTTATGCATATAAGTTCTTTAGTTTATTTCTTCCCACCCCCCAACCCTCTTCTCTTTGAGGTTTGTCAGTCTAACAACCAATTTGTTCTTCTTAATCCCTTCACCTTTTTTACCCATTCCCCCAGGCCCCCTCCCATCTGGCAAACAACGAAATGTTCTCTGTATCTATGAGAATGTTTCTGTTCTGCCTGTTCATTTTGTTTGTAGATTCCATTGCCGATAGATATGTATTCATTGCCATTTTGTTTGTTCATATATTTTATCTTTTTCTTCAAAAAGACCCTTCAACATTTCATATAATAACGGTTTGGTGGTGATGAACTCCTTTAACTTTTTCTTGTCTGGGAAACTCTTTATATGGCCATCGATTCTTTTTTTTTTTTTTTAAATCCTCACCCGAGGACATTTTTCCATTTTTTGCACAGATAGAGTGGGAGAGAGAGAGAGAGAGGGAAACATCGATGTGAAAGGGACACATCGAGTGGCTGCCACCCGCACGACCAACCAGGGCCAGGGACAAACTGCAACCGAGGTACATGCCCTTAGCGGGAACCAAACCCAGGTCTCTCCGGACCGCAGGCGGACGCTCTAACCGCTGAGCCAAACCGGCCAGGGCTGGCCATCGATTCTAAATGACAGCTTTGCAGGATAGAGTAATCTTGGTTGTAGATTCTTGCTTTTCTTCACTCTAAATATTTCTTGCCACTCCCTTCTGGCCTGCAAAGTTTCTTTTGAGAAATCAGCTGACAGTCTTATTGGAACTCCCTTGTAAGTGACTAACTGCTTTTCTCTTGCTGCTTTTAAGATTCTCTCTTTATCTTGAACCTTTTGCATTTTGATGCTGATGTGTCTTGGTGTGTGCCTCTTGGGGTTCATCTTGTTTGGGACTCTCTGTGCTTCCTGGACTTGTATGTCTGTTTCCTTCACCAAGTTAGGGAAGTTTTCTGTCATTATTGTTTCTAATAGGTTTTTGACTTCTTGTTCTCTCTCTTCTCCTTCTGGCACCCCAAAGATGCGAATGTTGGCATGCTTGAAGTTGTCCCAGAGGCTCCTTACACTATCCTAATTTTTTTGGATTTTGTTTTCTTTTTGCTGTTCTGATTAGGTGTTTTTTGCTTCCTTGTGTTCCAAATCAATGGTTTGCTTTTTGGCTTTACCTACTCTACTATTGAATCTGTGTAAATTATTCTTTATTTCAGTTAGTGCCTCCTTCATTTCTGATTGGTCTTTTTTAATGCTCTTGAGGCCCTCACTAAGTTTATTGAGCATCCTTATAAGCAGTATTTGGAACACAGCATCTGTTAGGTTGCTTATCTTCGTTTCGCTTAGTTCTTTTCCTGGAGTTTTGTTCTGTTCTTTCATTTGGGACCTGTTTCCTCATTTTGGCTGCCTCCCTGTGTTTGCTTCTGTATATTACTTAATGAGAGGTATGGGGCTAGCTGAGACCAGATGTGCTTGTTTGAAAGAATTTAGGAAAACCTGAAGCAGGATCCAAGACAGGCCAATCCTATGGTTAAGCAACTGGCAACAGCTTGGATGGGCCTGAAAGTTGGGTGGAGCGGGGCCTCAGGAAATCACCAGGGCCGGGCTAGGTTGCTGGAGTCCCAGATATGGTGGCTGTCTGCTGCCCCAGGGAAGGGCTCACCAAAGAAACAAAGGCCTCTGACAGCACATCTGTCCAGGAGAAGGTCGCCTCTCCAGCCCTTGCTCCAATGCCAAACGGCTCAGTTCTTCCCTGTATGTCTCTGGCGCCCCTCAAGCTGCCTCCCCTCCAAACCTAGAAGGAGCAAGTCTGAGTAAGTCTGTGCGCGGGCGCTTTAAGAGGAGCTGCCTGGGGCTCCAGCTGCCTCAGCCTCCCTGAGCCTCAGTTCCCGCTGGTTTTTCCAGCCAGAAGTTATGGGGATTCTCTTCCTGGCACTGGAACCCTGAGCGGGGTGCCTGGTGTGGGACGGGGACCCCTCAGTCCTCAGGGAGGATCTTCCCAGCCGAGGTGTCCTCCTGATTTTTATCCGCCACACGTGGGTATAGGACCAGCCCATCTGCCTCCGCCCCTCCTACCAGTCTCCATGCAGCTGCTTCTTTAATTTCGTAGTTGTAGGACTTCCATTCAGCTGGATTTCAGGCAGTTTTGAATGATGGTTGTTCTATAGTTTAGTTGTAACTTTGATGTGGTTGTGGGAAAATACGCTTTTACCTACACCACCATCTTTTTTTTTTTTATGAATTTTTATTTATTTTTTTGTTACAGGTATTTTACCTTTTTACCCCATTGGCACCCCCCACCCCACCCCACCTCCGCCCCATCCCCGGCTTAGTTGTCCATGTCCATTGGTCATGCATACATGCATATAAGTTCTGTGGTTTATCTCTTCCCACCCCCAACCCCCCCATCCCCTCTTCTGAGGGATGTCAGTCTGTGCCCTACTTCCATGTGTCTGGGTCTACTGTGTTCCTCAGACTGTTATGTTCATTATATTCCGTATATAAGTGAGATCATGTGGTATTTGTCTTTTTCTGCTTTATACCACCATCTTGACCAGAAGTCAATTCACTGCTTTTTTAAAAAATGTACCAAAATGTCCAATAATCATATCTTACTATCTAGAAATCGCTGATTTAATTTTGGTTGCAAGTAACAGAACACTCAACTCTGTCAACAGTGAGAAAATTTATTAATAATCTCACAAAAGTAAATGTCCAGATCATGCCTTTTTATTGCCCTCGTCTTTCCTGAATGGGAATCATCTACATATAAACTAAAACAGTAGTGCACTAGAATATGAATGTGGAAAAAACTTCCCATAACACTCAGATAACTAAGAGGACAAATTATATGTTAACCTTACCAAGTAAGGAAAAACTGACCCAAAAAATAAATAAATAAGTTATAATCACAGCAAAGTAAAAATTCTAGAGAAAAAGGCACCACTCTCTGTATATAAGAACCTTCTTTTACTTATATCAGTACATAGTGATAAGGGACTTGACCTGCATGTATATGTAATATAATTAAATATTTTGTCTTTGTATAAGGAGTTCAATAGAAAGGGTGCAGGAAGTCTGTGGATTTCCTGGAATTATATTGCTTATCTTACATGTGTGTGCACATGTTCATTTGTCCATAGACAGTGTCTACAGCATTAATCACTTTCACAAAGGGGTTCCTGAGCCAAAAAGGAAAAAAAGTTAATATTGATTAATTATTGCTCTAAAACTAAATACCTAAGTCAAACTAGGTTTCACTTGTATCACTAGTAGAATTCAGGTATGAATTTGATGGATAAACATAGGACAAACCTAGGTGAGGGAAGAATTGCTCTTTATGTTTTACTTGCAAGGATAAGGGTTTAGAAAACTTAGTATCTATGGAAATAGCAATGGGAGGAAAAATTAAATGTGCATATAGAACACTTGACTATTTTATAAAAACTTTGAAAACAGTGATAAGTATAACTAGTACTTTGATTTCTACATTATTTTGAGTGGGAATCTATATTACTAATCATGAATTCTCTTTATACCTCAGAAACACTAGTTTTGGGGTTTTTTTTAAGTCTAAATCTAACAGTATTATGCTGAGAAAGTAACATAATTAGTAACTCCACCTTTTAGTGTCCTGCCCAACCTCATGTATCTATCAACCACCCTAAATGTCATGTCCTTTTAAATATCTTGGTTTTATTCTAAACCCAGAGTATTATAGAGAAATAAGCTCTGTGGACTGTGGTATCTTAGTCCATTTGGGCTGCTATACAGAATACCATAGTCTGGGTAGCTTATTTCTCACAGTTCTGGAGGCTGGGAAGTCCAAGGTCAGGGAGCTGGCAGATTGAGTGTCTAATGAGAGCTGGCTTCCTGGTTTATAGACAGTCTTTGGCCATGTAACCTCACATGGTGGAAGGGACTAAGGAGCTCTGTGGGGTCTCTTTCATCAGGGCAC